GGCTTCCAAGTAAGGCGCTGTCGTTTTTTGTGAGAGAAGTTGGGGCTTGACGGTAGCCATCCGCGGTCAGCGCAGAGGTGTAGGTAAACAGGTATTTAAGACTGAACTTGAGCTGCCTAAAGCGCTTGCAAAACTCGATTATTCTTGTGTTGCATTAGCACCCAGCTTTGATAGTTTATATTTTGTCCAAACTGCAATTTTTTTCTTGTAACGATTTAATTTGTTTGTCCTTTCTGAGGTGCAAAATGCGTGATCTGATTTCACCTCTGTCGTGACTTGAAAGCTCTTAGGAACCGAGTGGAAGTGATTGATAAGTGATGAGATTGATAACGCCATCAGTACCCTTTGTTTTGATTTATTTATTTATTTTTGATTTCAGATGATTGCTGGAATAATTTGCGTTCCGTAATTTTGTTTTTAATGATTCGGTTCCAGGTTGTCCATCGAGATGGCACACTAGTCATCCGACCTGATTCTGGTGACCCGACCAAAGTAGTTGCTAAGGTCCTGGACATTTTAGGCTCCAAGTTTCACTACACTGTAAATGATAAAGGCTTCAAGGTCCTGCCCACCTGCATCCGAGTCATTCAGGGCGATGGGATTTCGTTGGATTCATTGGGTAATTTATTTTAAACTCTTTTGTCCCCAGCTACTTTCTTGCCATCTGGTAAATGTTTTCCTTTTCCAGTCTGTTTGACTTCGCATTTTCAAGAAACGCCCCCAGGTTTTGTAGGTAAAACACCGTTCGGATCAAATTACACCATTACAGGACCCTCCTTGAAGGTCGCCTGTTTCTGCCACTTTCTTTGTATTAGGCAAATCAATATCAGGCAACTGTTTTGGTCTTTTCATCAATCCTATTTTTCACCAGTCAGTCGTAAGTTTTAGATCACAATAGCCAAGCGCCGTAATCGAACTGTGTTCCCTCATATTAGGAATGGAATACGCTGCTCCCATTCTGGTTCATCGTGACGCTTCTATTTGTGTTGGTCTCACCATAAGCGAGTGCGCTACGTCCACGACACCGCTTTACTATGTTGCATGTGCTTTTCACAGCTTTCTTTCCGATTAAGCGCAAATGCATGATTC